AAACAATGCTGAATTGTCGAATAAGATCCTTACATTTGGGCATAACTTCGGTGTCCCACTTGCTGCCATGGAGCCTGGCGCACAGTGGCCCACTTCCTTATTCTTTGCTGGAAGAAGCTGTTTTCAAATATGTGGACATACAGGTCCTTCTCAAAATATTAGCATATTGTGATAAAGTTCATTATTTTCCATAATGTAATGATAAAACTTGAACCTATATATATTTTAGATTCATTGCACACTAACTGAAATATTTCAGGTCTTTTATTGTCTTAATATGGATGATTTTGGCATACAGCTCATGAAAACCCCAAATTTCTATCTCACAAAATTAGCATATCATGAAAAAGGTCTCTAAACGAGCTATGCACCTAATCATCTGAATCAACAAATTAACTCTGAACACCTGCAAAAGATTTCTGAGGCCTTTAAAACTCCCAGCCTGGTTCAGCACTCAAAGCCCCAATCATGGGTAAGACTGCTGACCTGACTGCTGTCCAGAAGGCCATCATTGACACCCTCAAGCAAGAGGCTATGACACAGAAAGATATTTCTGAACAAATAGGCTGTTTCTAGAGTGCTGTATCAAGTTACCTCAGTGGGAAGTCTGTGGGAAGGAAAAAGTGTGGCAGAAAACGCTGCACAACGAGAAGAGGTGACCAGACCCTGAGGAAGATTGTGGAGAAGGACCAATTCCAGACCTTGGGGGACCTTTGGCAGCAGTGGATTGAGTCTGGAGTAGAAACATCTAGAGCCACCGTGCACAGGCGTGTGCAGGAAATGGGCTCCAGGTGCCGCATTGTCCAGGTCAAGCCCCTTTTGAACTAGACACAGCGGCAGAGGTGCCTGGAGGAAGACTGGGGAGAAGGAAATGCCAAAATACCAGAAGTCCAGTGTTTAGTACCCACAGTCAGTGATGGTCTGGGGTGCCATGTCAGCTGCTGCTGTTGGTCCACTGTGTTTTATCAAGAGCAGGGTCAATGCAGCTATCAGGAGATTTTTGAGCACTTCATGCTTCCTTCTGCTGAAAAGTTTTATGGAGATGAACATTTAATTTTCAAGCATGACCTGGCACCTGCTCACAGTGCACAAACCACTGGTAAATGGTTTACTGACCATGGTATCACTGTGCTCAATTGGCCTGCCAACTCTCCTGACCTGAAGCCCATTGAGAATCTTTGGGATATTGTGAAGAGAAAGTTGAGAGACGCAAGACCCAACACTGTGAATGAGCTAAAGACCGCTATCGAAGCATCCTGGGCCTCCATAACACCTCAGCAGTGCCACAGGCTGATTGCCTCCATGCCACGCCGCATTGAAGCAGTCATTTCTGCAAAAGGATTCCTGACCAAGTATTGAGTGCATAACTGTACACAATTATATGAAGGTTTACTTTTTTTTGTATTAAGAGCACTCTTCTTTAATTGGTCGGATGAAATATGCTAATATTGTGAGATAGGAAGTTTGGGTTTTCATGAGCTGCATGCCAAAATCATCCCTATTAAGACAATAAAAGACCTGAAATATGGCAGCGCGGAGCGGGACAGAAAGAGACTGAGCAAACTAGCAAGAAAGGCTCCTAGGCTACACTCTGAACTCTGTGGAAGAAGTAGCTGAGAGGAGGGTGCTGTCCAGGCTTACATCCATCATGGAAACACCTTCCACGCTCTGCACCAGACTGTAGAGGAGCTGAGCAGCTCCTTTAGTGAAAGACTTTTACACTCCGTTTGTAAAAAGGAGCGCTACCGTAGGTCATTCATCCCTGCTGCAACCAGACTCTGCAATGTGACACTACAACAGCAACAACTTGTGCAATGTATATTGTTGTTACTATTTGACACCCAGTGCAATAACTACATATAAATAATAACCCATCTATATAAATACCCATGTAAACACACTGTGCAATAACCCTTTTTAGTAACACTACAAAAAAAAAGCTGTCATATGTGGATGCTCTATATATACTTTATATATCCCATGCACCTTTTTCTTACTTTGACACATTCTTCTTCTCCTTTGACTATTTGAGCTGATGTAACAGGTACATTTCTCCACTGTGAGATCAATAAATGCAATCAATCAATAGATATATGTTCTCCAGCAGTCTAGGCCTATAGCAGCATAACTATAGAGATGGCTCTGGATAACCTGAGCCACTCTAGCTATAGGCTTTATCAAAAACATAAAGGTTTAAGCCTACTTTTAAAAATAGACGGGGTCTGCCTCAAGCACTAAATCTCATAGTTGATTCCACAGGAGAGGAGTCTGATAACTAAAAGATCTGCCTCGCATTCTACTTTTAGAAATTCCAGGAACCACTTTTAAATCTTCAGATTGAGAGCGAAGCGCTCTGTTAGAAGGAACAATCATACCTCTGAATAAGATGATAATACATGCTTTTATATTTATTTATATATATATATATATATATATATATATATATATATATATATATATATATATATATATATATATATATATATATATGTCGGCAGCATATTTGTTAAGTTAAGGTATATAGGAAAGAGGAAGGCTATGTTAAAACTAGGAGGACCAATGAATATGATTGAGTTTACTTCTTTTCAGACATACTTACTAATGAGAGATGTGTGCATTTGTGTTTTGTTACAAGATATGATTTGTATTTATACCAGTTGATTCTATGTAATAGGTTTGTATTCACACAGAAATTTCTGTAACTTTGCTTTGTCCGTGTCATTTTCTGCTTTGCACTGTCTGAAATCTACAGAATTGTGCACTACCATTTTTAGATTTTCTTTCATTAAAAAACATTGTTTTTTTAAAGAATGTAGTGAAGAAAAAGAGAAAATATAAATAACTTTTTTTTTATATTCTTTAAGTAGTACAGTATCCAATGACAGCAAATCTGTGTGCTATTATCAGTATTTGTTTAAAGGCTATGCTTGTATATACACATATTGACCACTTTATTAGATACACTTGTTTAATTACTTGTTTACACACGATTGACTCAGCCAGACACATAGCAACAAGTCTAACCATCTTGTCAAATAGATGTAATATAACTTGCTGAAAGTCAAAGGGTGCATCACAGTGTATAAGAAGCAGGATTTAAGTTTTTTCCCAGAAACTTGGACAACTTTTATTAGACTTAGACAAGTTTTATTGTAATTTTGTTTACACAGAGTGTATACAAAACGAAATTTTATTTTGTACAGCTTTCATTACATTTCCATTTCTTTAAGTGCAACAGTGATCAAATATAAGTGTTGTTGGAGAAAAAAAACAGGTTCAAAAAAGTTTAGAGCATTAAATATATATGATCAAACATGGAACCATCTCATAGGTTTATAGAAATGGTATGAAAATATCCAGTGAGCACTATCTGTGTGGATAAGAATTCCTTGATATATTGAGGAAATGGACTCTCTGACATGAAGTAATGGAAAGGCAACATTAGCACTAATAACTTTAGTAACAAGCATGTAGAATACCGTTTTTAAGTATGCAGCATGTAAAATCTTGAAGCAGGTGGGCTAAGACAGCATAAGATACACAGGATGCTGCTCCTATCTGCTAAGAGCAGGAAACTGAGAGTACAGTTCACACAGACTCAGCAAAATTAGACAATAATGGGGGGAAGGTGGCCTGGTCTGGCGAGTCTACATCAGCTGGGACATTCAGATGGTATGGTGAGAATTAGGCATAACAAATAAAAAAATAAATCTAAATTTCTAGGTCTAACAACGTTGGACTTTTCTCCCATGTTTTTTTTTTGGTTAAAGCTGCATATGTGAAATACTTTCAAGATTCATTTTAACTCCACAACCTACTTCAGTGTTGTCTCACATCATTTTGATCCAGTAATGACCACAGAAACTAGCCTGATAACCCAGACTAAATGTGAGATTAAATATCTAATTTAGTCTGGCCCCTGAGAATTGAAGATTGTTGATGAGAACAACCCGTTTTCTTTCAAACCGTGTCTGTGCCTATTGGCCAACGCTCTGACCAATGAGCACAACTGACTGTGACGTAGGAAGTACGACAGAAAGATGGTGGGGGAGTGTAAACAAACAGCCTGTCTGTAAAACGGCTAATACGTCCTTCTTAAAAATGAAAGAGCGTAGAGCCTCTTCATGCTCATGTTTCAATGAAAAACTCAAGACTAATCCTTCAAAAACTAGTTCCAAAGCTGAGTCAAAAATCGCCATCATTTAATTACGCATTAAATTGGTACATGGACCATATAGTGACGCTTTAAAGTATAATAGCCTTGCCTCAAATGATATTAAAACATGCTTTTATTGAAAAACAGCAACAGAAAAGAGAACCTTTTGCTTTCAATGGAGCGCTACATTGAAAACTGCTGCTGGTGCAGTGCATGCTACTGTTCAATAGTTGTTGCCAACTTCCTTGTTGTGCTTTATCCAGCGTCGCACAGCTTTGTCGTCATGCCCTCGAAACCCCGCCCACTTTGCATCCAAAAATTCAAAACACATCTCTGCATTGTGATTGGCCAGCCAGTTCTAGGGCCTGGAGCACTGTTCAAGGCTAGACTAGACTCGCAGGCAAAAATAATTTTGACCACTGGTGGGTGGGGCTAGTTTTCCTGGCTACACAGGAACACCTTGTTTTTGGTAAAATGATAATCAGCAAAGCATAGGTAATAGGCCCTTGAAGGCATATTTGCACACGGATTTTATTAGAATCATAATGCTATAATGTGTCAGTATGGGTTCTGATGAACCATGCTTCTGAGCGCATTATGAGTCAAGTGACACACAAGTGTTCACTAGTAGTGACCTAGAGACCTCCTGCTGAACTGCCAGCAGACTGTTACATATGGGTTACTGCACACGTTCATTTATATATTTGTATTTCATCCTAGAATTTCGTCTGGGAATAAATAACATTATTATTATTTTAATAATAATTATTATAATTTGAATAATCAATGGGTCGTCCTATCCCGCGCGCGCCCAGTGCTGACTCTCTCTGTTGTTACATTGTAGCGGAAAGAATGTCGGAAAGGGCCGAGGATGACGTCAGGGGGGAGCAGCGCCGAGCGGCCAGGCAGCAGCTGAAGCAGCAGCAGATCCAGCGGGGAGAAGGCTCCACAGCAATGGCGACTGTTGCGGAGCGGAGATCGCTGCCTAGTCCTGAAATAATGCTGGGACAGCCTTGGAGCAGCTGGGTCGACGCCGCCAAACTCCACGGACACGACGGTGAGTTCCTCGGCGTCCCGAACGTGCGGGAGGAAGCTAAAGGGAACCGCGACAGTTCCCAGTCCCGTCCCTTTTTTTTTTCTTTTTTATTTGGCCGATTGCATGCAGTTTTCAGGCTGGATATGAAGAAACGCTACTGGCAGCAGCAGCACACAAGCAAGTGCAACTATTTATCTGTCCCTGTATCGGATCACCTTGTTTTCAGGTGCTGAATCGGAGGAAAGTTTTAAAGACTTGGGGAAAAATCGAGAAGCCATGCGTTTGTGCAGAGAAGGTGAGTGTTTTTTTTTTTTTTTCGCTGTAGGGCCAAAGGTGTATTTTGGTTCTGGGGGTTTGAACATAACATACACACTGGCTCAACACACTTTAGACACTTGATTCAGTCAGTTTACAGACAACCAATGCCTATAGACACATAAGTAGTGGTTACTGTGTAGTAAGCATGTTTTTGATCGTGTTTACTTTCACCTTTACATCTGTAGAAAAAGAACAGTAAGAGTCAGCAGTTAAGTTTGTACTCACCGCTTATTGTTCTCATTGAAAGCTGATCTAAAACATTTCCTTTGATGGGTGAGGAAGTGTCTAAATGTTTTATGTCAAAAGATTAGATTTAATCTGAATGAACGTAAAATAACATCATGTATGCAGGTTAAAAAATAAAAAAATAAGACAGTTGCAGACTTTTAAAATCTGTATAACCAAAATAACTAAAATGTTTTACTTCTAAAATTATTCAGATGATTCCATAAAACTTTCAAAATATTTTCTATTGTTTTATTAGGCTGCTATTAACTAATTTGTAGTAGTCCTATTTTTACTATGCTAAAATGAAAAATGCAAGACGATATTATATTCACTATTCAAAGGAAGAAAAGACATTAAGCTTGCATCATTTTACTAAACTTGCCTAAAACATGTAAATATAACAAATGTTTTGCAGTTGAGCATGTGCTCCATCTCAAATCAGATATTTGCAGTATAGATACTTTAACAGAATAATAGTAGACTTAGAAAAAGAAACTTTAACCATACACTCCCTAACAACATTTCTCTAATTAAAAAATAGAAAATAAATTAAATACCGAGCATATAAATATACCTAGTAAATAAGTAAAGCTAAGACATTAGTTCTTTGCTGAAATATAAATGATTAAAAAACTAAGAAATGCATAATATTCCCTAAAATGAAAGTGGTCTACAAAAAGTTGTATCTAATTTATTGATTTCTATCTGTCTAAAGGATAAACAGTTTTCTTTCCCTTTACTTTAAAGCCTTGATCTGTTTTCTTTATAAAAACAACAGTGTTTTAGGAGATAACTATTATTTTCTATTTCTTACTTAGTTATTTATCCTATATTTATTAAAGTAGATGCTGGGAAATAAACCTCTAAACTAAATTTTATTTCACCCAGAATGTCTCGCAGAGATGTGATTTCGTTGGGGATTTATGGACAAGATGAGGCACAGTACTCTAAACCATTACCTAGACTTGGAAACAACACAGACAGAAAGCATCAGTTTTACAAACTAATTCACCTGCATCAAAGGTTTAAAAACAGTTTCCTAGTTACGTATTTAAAAACGTAACTTAAAGGGAGAACAACTATTTCATAAAAAAAATTTTTTAAATCTAGCAAATAATGAATCAGGGTCAAGTATTTTCTGAATATCTCTACAACTATAATGAGCATTTTTTTTAAATGCAGTTTTGACTAAATCAGAACAGGATCATTGAACTTGGTGTTTAACACAATCTATCAATCTCTGAGCAGAATGCAGATGCAGTTTGGTCATTTGTCCATCTGTGCTTTAAAAATGTAAAAAGTTTCACCTTGAACCACACTGAGAGCAGTGCTTCACATGGGTTTATAAGGCCACTTTACTCAATGAGTCTCAAATACCGATTCTGTCTGGTTTGCAGGCCAATATTTCAAATGAGCGTTAATACAAATACATTTAAGAATAAATTAAAAAGGGCTAATAGGATTGAGTACGTAGAAAGCTTGATTAAGGCGCAGTGGCTGACAAAGGGCATAGATTGTTTTCCTTAATAAAAACTTGGGTTTGATGGAGAGGTTCTAATTTAAAGTTATATTGCAACCTGCTCAAGGCAGGGTTTACCTTGAAAATACTGCATGAATTTCTTGGTCATCTTAAATGATAGTATTGCTAAATCTCTTGTTGGTGAATCGATGGATGACTGCAGCACAGAGTGAAGCTCACAACTAGGAGGGTTTCTTAGGAACCTTTCCCAAAGAATGACTGGGAACTCCAATGATCAGATATTGTAAACCTGGTTTCTCCTGTTGAGTAAAATAATTTTAGCTCAGAAAACCAAATGTTTAAAAAAAAGCAACACCAGCAATCATGCTACAAAATCATGGTGTTGCTCATAAATAAGGGAAAGATGGGCAAAGCCTTTTTGTAGCAATGCGCGGCCGTGATAACGCTGCCAATCCCCCAGGAAGGAATCGCATAAACACCATGGAGTTTTTTTATCGATGCCAGCTGATGTTTCACATCCCCTTTTAGTTTCTGAACATCTGATCTCTTTAAAAGGTTGACCTGAAACAAGACATCCAAAATAGCCGATAGTCGCGTAGCGGACACATTATGATGTGAACGAGTACACCTGAATCACACCATATATCATATTGGGACGTTTATGGTAATCTGTAGAGTCTGTGACATATGGAGGAAGGCAAACATCTGTGCTTGTATTAAAAGCAATGAATAAATTGGGCAGCCAGCAAGAGGATCACAGGGCAGAACTGTGCAATATATTACTGGCTAAGGAAACAATCCCCAACCATATTCTGAGTACAGACCTTGTGTTAATGCAAGGGGTTTCATTTATCGCTGAAATATGTTACAGAAGCAGCTTCAAATGTTCTAAACTCTTAAGTTTTGTAGGAACGCATCTCTACCCCCCTACAACAGTCTGGTCACAGGATTTTAAATTGAATGTGAAAGCAACTTAAGAAATAAGGTATGGGTAATCCCTTAGGATGTACATACCTAATGTATGCACCCAGCAGCAGGTATTTTTAACTCTAAACCTGTGCAGTCCAGAGGTTAGCTCTGCTGTGCAGAGCTACAGCGCCTACAGGTGCAGTCTCTTAACAAGCCTGAACTCTTTGTATATCAGAGATGTAAGCTGAAGATTGTTCCATCTAGTACTCCTCATCTGAAAATATGATGCAGTTGCTTTTTGTAGATTGCTTCTGCATTCAAGCAGGAGTATGGAGCTTTCTCTACTTTACTTTTTTCTTTTTTTCTTAACCAGCAACAAACTGGTTTGGTTTTTAGATCCAACGCTCCCCCCCTGCTCTATGGCTTATACATCGGACACTGCTTTCTGTCTGAAAACACACTCCTGCTCCTCTTCAACAGTTTTTTTCTAAGATGCTCATGTTGAACGTCACTGTTTCTGATTCTTGGTCATCTTGTATCATAAGTCTCAACTCTTGGTACAACATTTCTTTCTTCTAGCTTATGTCAAAGAACGACGACTCAGAAATGTACAGTAAAGATAAATGTAGAATTTTAACACGTACTTGATACATTCACAAATATATCTTTATCACATTATCACTGGTTTAATGAACTGCTTGGACTGGTGCAGATATTTGACCAGTGATCAAATGTCTAATCTCTATTTGACAGAGTAGACCTCTAATAAAGTCAGAAATCTGTATCAACATGTAGAAGATTGTTTATTAGGGTAGTATGTGCTTCATTCCAATAATATATTAGGTTAGATTTCCTTTAGAACGTGCAATAATGAAACCCTTAATAAAACCCTCTTTGTCCAGATGAGTTTCATTCTTTTAGCATTACAGAACGGCCTGAACTTTCTCTTAAGTCTCATGTCAGCTAAAGAAATGGACCTGGTGTGGATGTTGAGTGAAGTTACGACTCCATTTAACTGGACTGATAGATTGTTGGTATGAGGAGCATTAATGCATCACACTTAAGATGTTATATCTCGACAAATATTCCATCCAATTGGTTCTTTGTTTCATAGTAATATTGCATTAGCCCTTTGCTATGTTTGCAGCTCTAGTAGAATTAAACTTTTGCATTTGCTACTCTTGATCCTCACTTTATTGTAAACCAAAATGCGCGTAGTTTATAGTTATCCATTATTGTATTATAAATTATACCACTAGTATAGCATTGAACAACATTCCTGTTCATCTCGTGTTTTAATCTGGACTTTCTTTCTTTTTTCCCAGCTTTTTTATTGTCATTAAACTGTCACAAGTACAGAGCATCAAAATGACCTCTCTGCATTTAACCCATCCTCTTTGGGCAGCACCGGGCTGCCATTTTGCGGCACCCAGGGAGCAGGGTGGGGGTTAAGGGTCTTGCTTAGGGTCCCAGAGTGTCAGTCCGTGGGAGTGGGGTTTGAAATCAGAACCTCTGGATTCCAAGCGCAATGCCCTTACCACTAGGCCGCCGCTCCCCATTTTAAACAGTTTCAGAAAGTTAAGAGTTAACTAGAGGCCTGTGGTGCTGTATCTAATATTAAATTGGTAAACAAGGTGGTTGGTGTACATTTAATTTAAGACCATCAGCCATATCTTTTTTTCTTTTTTTTTGCCTTTGTGCTAATTAAGCCCACTTTGTTTCTCTACCCCTTCTCCATGCTGAGCGGAACATTCACATCTCTCCTTCATATGGAAACTCAGATTAACCACATGAGATGTTGCTGTGATCCAGCACTGTGCAGCTATGATGCTGCAGTTTATTGGGTAGAAGAATAAATAGATAAATAAAAATAAACACTAATCATTGGGGGGTTTTGCTTAACAAGAGCAGTCATTTGGGAATTTTTCAGCACCAGGACACTCCACCAGTCTTCAGAGGTTTTGCTCTTTTTCTCTTTGAGGGGCGCATGTTCACCTGCGTGCAAACGTTCAGTCTGAGGAGAGCAGGCGTCCCACGTTTTTATAGCTGTCGCTCCAGTTCCTCAGAAAGGCTTTTTATGTATACCTATGTACAAACGAAGTAAATGGTTTTTAAAAACACAGTTTCTATGACCGTTATGCTCATTAAAATTTGGCCAAATTCAGTGTAATGTTGTCAACTTTCAGGGTATTCAGCCATTGTGTTGAAATGCGATGGGAGTTAGTGCTGAGGTGGACCTATTCACTCATAAACAATAAGCCCATCAGCCTAATTGTGATTGACAAATTTTTTTGCGACACTAACATTTATTATTGGCTCCTGAAGCATTTAGAACATCCCAGCATCCATTTATGGCCAGC